AGACTATTGTTGAGGTATCCACCAAAAATGTCCGAGACACACCACACCCAAAACAGATCTCTTTATTCTTCCAGTTAAATAATAGATTCACCAATTGATTAATCGCCCTATTGAATTGAAGATTAAACAAATACTTGAAACAGAGTAAAACTGTGGTATGCTGTGTACTGCTGATGAACTTTGATGCTACCTAACACCTCTTCTTCCTGAGGAGCGAGATGCGAGACCCTAAAAAGAGCAACGGCAACGTTCTGTGGTTTGGGCATCTGGCTGACACTTACACATTGGATACTTTTAGGCATATTTGGGTTTTCACGCCTAACTGACAAATATGAAACAGGACTCTTGTAATCTATAGCCATATAGGAAGTGCTATCTTAAAGTGTAATTTACTTTTTATTCATATGTGTTATCCTCATTTAAGTTTCATTCTCTTTGATGAGTTACGATTTCTTTCCTTATATTGAGCCAAGAGTGTTTTGATCTCGGATATATTCTTTACATGTAATCTCATATATTTAGTGTCAATTTAATGATGATAGCCTTAATGTGTTTTTCTATCATTTATCAATATGTAATCATATGTGCTTCTATGTTGACTGAATGGAAAAGATAAGTACATTTATTCATTTTGGGTTTAACTTACTCTGATAATTGACAGAGTCAGCATAGGAAACAGGTTGTAAGTGCAGAAACTGCAACTCTAGTAATTGTTAGAAGAACATCCTGTTCAATAAAAGCCAGACAGAAACCTTCATAGGGGAGCCAGCAAGAAAGAGTTAACTTAAAGAACAAGTCTGTCAGAAAAGATAAGACTACGTAAACTGCTTTATCCAATTAATTGACAATAATTAGTTGTCTATCATATATGAACCAGGAGGTTAAAGAAGTGTATATAGAGGTATATATAGGTATAACCTAGATAATTAACAAAAGCACAGGTAAATATGACAAAATCTATGGTTTAAATACACTTATACTGCCATCTAGTGATAGAACGGGTGAACACTTACTTTGCGTGTCCTTACCGGCTACACTCTGCGTTCACTAAATCAACACAATACAGTGGACAAAGAAATATCAGTGCCAACAGCAACATTTATGTGAACACAAAAACGACTTTGATTAAACTATATCACGAACTGTATTGCATCAAACAATGCACCGATTAATCGAAAAGTTGATTCTTGCTGTGTACATGGATAAATTAAATTAAATCGCTACTACTGCTGCTAACACAATCCCATCGGCCCAGGATTATTTATTTATATTAATGAATGTATTTTCTTCTAATGTTACCCTGGTATGTGCTTGCATCACAGACTACGTTAAACATTTCTTGCATTACGGTCATTATATTTCCTTCACTTTTATTTTGAAATATTCTTGTTCCGGGTTACCTGTTGTGCTCTGCGTCTCGTTTTAAAGGAAAAAACAAAAAAGGAACAAAATTCGGCTCGTTTTTGACTTTGGTTCTGTGGTTTTTCCGTTTTTGAATTCAGAACCAAAAACGGAAATACGACCGCCCATTTCCGTTTTCGGTTTGAAACAAAAAACGAGAATACGTATTTCCATATTTTGGTTTTTCCGAATTAACGGTAAAACAGATGACTAAAACGTACACGGACCCTGGTGCCTGGTCTACTTGGACGTCTCTGCGCACAGACTCCTTCACCGTGTTGGGTGCATATGAAGGCAAATCACTGTCAAAATCCGAGAGCGCAAATGAGATCCATGCGCGCGCGAAAATCAAACAGCCGCGCACGTATTTTACTTTGACGAGCGCTTTTACGCCACTCCGCGAGCAAAAGTCGCTCGCGAAGCTTAAACCTGCTCGCTCGCGAGTAGTTTTTCTTTTTGACAGTAAGTGGGCGGACCCAGTCGCCATTGTATCTCTACATCTAATTGGTTACAATCCTAGTCTAGACCGGATATCACTCTGACGCAGACGCTAGTTCTGATAGAGGTGGTTTTCAATCCGCCACTAAACACTACTCCACTACATCTCAGGATGTTCTACATTTGTCTGACAGGTTTTGTAAACTTTTCAGACTGTAGAGGCTGATGAAATACAAATTATGTTCATAGAGTTGTTAAATACAATAATTAAAATGTGTTAAAGTCAAGTTGCTCAGATTGGTTTAAATTCACTCCATCATTCTATTACAGACAATGTGTGTTTGATACTCAAACTTCTTGTGACAAACAGCTCAAAGAAACTCTTTGATCTTAATTGATTAAAACATGATGTGATCATATTTAATCATACTGTTGTGTTTACAGAAGAGATATAATATAGTTGTATATAATATGAGCAACAATTTGGACCTGCTCAAAGATCTGGAGCCAAGATTAGGGACCACTGCCAAGATTAGGGTTGACACGATACCACAATTATGACTTCGATACGATACCTGCCATAAGTATCACGATACTCGATACTTACGATACGATACCAGAATTCAATACAATACCAAAAATACAATACGATACTGGTATATTTATCTATAATAGTAATAAATAAAACATCTGTTCGGTTCCCTTTTTTACCAGCTTGTTCCTGCCCAGCTTTTTGAACACTTAACAAATGGCATTAATATTAATGTTTAACCTCTTCGTATCTTTTGAGCCTCTCTCATATTTCCGCTGGCTTTCAAACACAGCTGAAGGGAACTCTGTCTCTGTGTTGCTGCTGACTCTGCTGGCATCTGTCTGACTGTCTGTGGGAGTGGGTGGATAAACAATGCTTCATTTACTTGCATAGTGAGTTTGATATTTTCACTTCATATTTTAACTTAATTCATGGAATAATTATTTTTCCTTAACTAAAAATAAAAATAATTAGCTCAAGATCCACCCTCAGGCTCCACCAGCATGTAGCCATTTTGCATCAATTGTGTTTCATTTAGTACACTTTTGTGTGCATTGTGACCTCATCATCATATAGGCTTGTCGTCAAACTAGGCTAAGGCTACTCGTGTTAGCTGTCTATGGGTGAGCTTGGGGGTGCTCATGTTTATAATCACATTTGCTTACCTGTCGTTCTTTGAACTCTTTGAAAAGTTCGGGGTGTCTGTCTGAAAGGTGCTTTGCCATGTTAGACGTGTTGCCTCCCTTGGTCTGTGTGGCTTTGAAACAAGTTTCGCAGACGGGTCTCTGTATGTCAGTGGGGACCGTACACGGACCCCCATTTCCGTTTTTGGTTTGAAATGAAAAACGAGAATACCCATGGTATTTCCGTATTGTCATTTTTTTTGACTGAACAGTAAAACAGACTATCAAAACTTACATGGACCTTAATGCATGTCTCCCCTGCAGCCAGTGGCAGGCCATGCATTTCATACCTGGGCCTTCACTGCTGTCCTGCAGCTGAAATACCACCTTACAACCACATTATGGTGCCACAGTTATTATTCATTTTTAAGGCTGTAACTATGTACGTCTTCGTATTAAACCGTTCGGTACAAGTCGTTTGAATAATGCTAGAGCATTTAGAAAATGTAAAAGCCTAAATTCAGGAAAACATAATGTTCTCAGCTGGTCTGGCTGTGGGATCCACCATCATTCCTTAATGACAAGCAGCAACCCAAATAGATTATCATAGGATTTTACTTTCACAACTTCAATGTTCAATGTTCTGCTCTGCAGTGTCTTTCCTCGTCTCAGTCTCCTGTGTCATGGTGTGTGTTACATCTGATCTCACTCAGTCAGAATGCCCATATTTGATTGGCTGAGCTGCATCACGTGATCTGATTCACTACCTGACATGCCTCTGCTGTTAAGTTTCAGAGCTGCACATGGACACTGAGCGGCATGTAATGCTGACGTCATTGTAGGCCGGCTCGCAGGCTCTGATATGTCAAAGAATACGCCCAACATGTCAAACTAAAGATCTGATTGGTTGAACACTATGACAATCAACAATATCGTCCCCATTTACTTTAATCTGCACTGGCTGCAGACGAGAGTCTGCAGGCCTCTCTTCTTACCTAGAGACACAGAGGTGGAATCTGATTGGATAAAAGCTCTACTTAAAACAAGCTGCACTGGAAGCAGAGCAACTGAGGAAGACAGTAGCTGTGCAATGAGAAAATAAGATAATGCTCAAAATATTTTTATAAATTATAATACATGTAGTGTATTTCAGAAAAATTATTAAATTATAAAATATATATAACTTTGTGATTCTGTTTAGGCCAGCAGAGAAGGCCTTGCTGGCCCCTACCGCCAGCCACTGTCTGCAGCACTCGCTGTGAGTGAGCGCTGCCTGTTGCTGTGTGAGCGCTGGGCAGCCCCGCCCCCTTGCAGTCAATGCCTTTAGGCAGCATGACAGGGAGCGGAACAGTGAGTGCGCTCTTATCGCGCTATTTTAATGAAGTATCGATACTAAAAATATGCAAAATCGTATCGTTTTTAACGTACGGGTACCGCGGTACCTTTTTAGTATCGATACACCGTGCAACATTAGTTTGTATATTAACTGTTAAATCACTGACAAAGTAGTTAGTGGATGAAAAAGTATTCAGATCCTTCACTGCAGTAAACGTACTAATATCATACTGATGAAACAATAATCCACTAGGAGTAAAATACCTGCATTCAAAACCTTAGTCAATGTTATTATCAGCAAAATGTACTTTAAGTGCAGAAAGTAAAAGTACCCGTGCAGTAAAATGTACAATATTTGCCCCTGACCTGCAATCTGAAAATCTCCCCCTAGCGTCGGTGTCAGAGTGATATCCGGTTTATCCCAAGACGAGGATTGTAACCAATTAGATGTAGAGATACAATGGAGACTGGGACCGCCCACTTACTGTCAAAAAGAAAAACTACTCGCGAGCGAGCAGGAAAAAGACTCGCGAGCGAGCGGGTTTAAGCTTCGCGAGCGACTTTTGCTCGCGGAGTGATGTAAAAGCGCTCGTCAAAGTAAAATACGTGCGCGGCTGTTTGATTTTCGTGCGCGCATGGATCTCATTTGCGCGCTCGGATTTTGACAGTGATTTGCCTTCATGCTATGACTCACATAATCACCGAAGACGTGTCCTCGCCATCCTTATTGGTCTTTCAAAGTGACGCCTTGTGACGCCGATTTTTATGCGGCTATAAATAGGCTCTGTTGCTTTTTTTTTTTTTTTTAAGGTGTGGGGGATTGGGGGTGCGTGAACCCAGTCGGGATGTAGAAGGGGGTGCGTGGCCTAAAAAGTTTGTGAACCGTTGGTCTAGACAAAGGTGGCCTCACCGCATTAGGTACCGATGTTGGTGCGTAGCTCCTCTTCACAATTCATTCCTCTTCATGCTTCCCACGTGACTAACAACTCTTTTCTCAGATGACACCTTCACATTGTTTTTCCTGACCAACAGTCCAGACCTCAAAGAGATTCTATTCAAAAGCAGCTAATCCTTACATTTTAGAAGCTGGAAGGAATGTGAACGTTTTTGCCTGATAAATTAGTTTAAACTAAAAAAGTGACACTCAAAATTTATGTTGAATTTTCTGTCGATCCAATAATCAATTAATTGACTTTGCTAGGCTCCTCAAAGTGTTAATTTTCCGATCATAACTTTGCAACCGAATGCAGTATGCAATGCTCAGCCAGAGTAATACATTCGACAGGAGTATCATTAGTAAGTAAGGGGGGGGGCACACAATTAATTAATTGTTTCAGCACCAATGAGGGATAATGTGAAATGTATTCACAATGTCATGCAAATTATTTCTTTTCAAGTGAATTTGTCCGCATATTCCGAAAATATTTGGTGTATTGTTGGAAATTGTTAGAAATATGAATTTGAACATGTTCAGAAATAGTCTCATTATTATAACATAAATGTGCAGGTTGATTAATGTTGTCCTGATCCTAATAGATAAATGGTTTCATTTATTTACACTCCCCTTCATGGTATCACATGCAGCCTGGGAATAAACGGGCCCCCTCCTCTCCCCCTGGACTCCTCATCCGCGGGGGCCTCGGTGCGGGCGCTGGGTGTCGAGCTGGGCTGGGGGGGCTTCTCACATGTGGCCTGGGGATGGGTGTGCCACGTCCCGTCCCGGTAGGTGCAGTAGCATACTGTCCACTCGTCAATGTTCACACGTTCCCCCGCTGGGATCACCCTGTTCCCAGCAAAGCAGTTGGGACCTGGAGTGACAGGAAAGACAGTACAGGTACAAGTGTTGCTCTCACAACCTTTTTTTGCTTTCGTTGTTGTTTGCTTACCCTCAGTAGTGAAAGCACTACTTTATGCACTACTTTATTGTTGGGTGAACACAAGCTCGCTAATTAACATATTACATAATGTTTGTTTAATCTGTCAAAAAAAACATGCATTGTAAAAAAATAAAAATAAAACGTATTCTGGTCTTACGGGGGTTGTTTGCTGCCAAGACACTAAGTAAACATTATAAACAATATACCTGCAAACATCAGCATGTTAACATTAACCACTGTTAGCGTGCTAGCATAGCATAGTTAGCATTTAGCTGTGCTCAATTAAAGCCTCACAAAGCATAGGTGCTCTGTTTTAGTCTTTCTTGCTGAGGGTTAGGGTTACCCAGAAGTATTCAAGTGGCAATCAGCTAGTTGAATTCTCTAAATGCTCAGGAAACGTGCTGCAATGCTTCCTTTCTCGTGTTAAGAACAAATGGAAAGGAGATAAGGCCGTCCCACAAGCCTAGAATAAGATCTTCCTAAGTACTTATGCTCTCCCTCAGATCTTTCCTTGACCTCATGATGTTTTCCATGAGGACAAGGAGAAAACAGAGGATGTCATATTTTCTACAGACAAACAAGACACATTTAGAGACTAGCTGGTGAACATGGTGGAGCATTTGGCAGCTAAAGAGACAGATGTCCTCTCCAGAGTAGGTGGAGACAGAGCTAAAATAGAGTGATTGTTATAGTGTTGTGGTTGCACACTTTAATTTTCAGGCTGGTTTCTGCAGTGAAAGCAGTTTTAAATGAGACTTGAGTTGGGAAAATAAACTGCTAGTTTGATTGAAGCACAACTTCTTTCTTCAATGGTGGTTCAAGTTCATAATGAAAAGCCTTATTGATGTGTGCATGATATTAATATAACATGATACAAGCATCATAGGGAAAGCTACAGATACTGATTTTTATTTAAGGTCAAATTAACCTGTCTATGACAAAATCCTTCCTCTAGATCAGGGGTCTTCAACTAAAATTCCAAAAGGTCCAGATTGAGAAAATCTCCTCAGGCAAAGGTCCGAAACATTACATAACAAAGCTTTTGAAAAATGTGCATTTTAAAAATAAAATAATTCATTTTAGAAACATTTATTTCACTGAATTGTGCTGCAGCTTTAAATTCAGTTCATTCAGGTGTGAAGTGATGTCAATAAAAAAGCCACAATATTATATTTTTGTCATCTAAAAAGAGAAATCAGTGAGCATGGACTTCATGTGTGGTTATTAAACCACTTGTTTCAGCTCTATTCTCTCTGTTAACATCATTGTTGAACAGTGAACTAATGTGTTAGGATTCTGATCATTTTGGGCTCTTAGGTTTATTTTCTGCGTCTTCATTTCAGATGTGAGTGGATACGTTTGTTCAAAGGAGTTGTGCTCTGCCTCGTAGTGCGCTTCATTTGCCGCTTTTATCAATAGTTACGGTTTCTGAACATATGAGACATGCTGGTTTTAACTGCCTGTGGTAAGAATTAATATAGAAGATTCTGTTCATTCTTGCTTATAAATTCTGTTCTCTCTGAACACGTTTCTCTTTTTGGAGAACGCCATGTGAGATAACTCTCTGATTAGCGCAATGCTCCTGCTCTTCTTTCTATTTCCTCGTCTCTCCCCCGTGTGTCATGGTGTGTGTAAATCTCACGAGAGTCAGGAAACTTGTCAGAATGCCCATATTTGATTGGCTGAGCTGCATCACGTGATGTGATTTACAACTCATTGGGCGGTGTGTTTCCTGCACCGCTGAACAAGTGCCGTATCGGCTGAATAAGTTGTGCCGGTTAAAGTATAAATTAGCTATGTAATATGTTAATAGGTTTAAGATCCTGGGTCCGGATCCGGACCGCGGTCCGCCAGATGGGGACCCCTGCTCTAGATGCTATTTATTTTCGTGAATGCATGTAATATACTATAATAGGATATCTTTAAATCACGAAGTTATGTATTGTTCAGGATGGACATAAATACCATGCAAGCAAAAATGTAAACTGTCTGCCTTTGATATGATTTGCATCCCTCAATCACAGATGGGGGTTCCTTTATTTGGCAGCTACCTGTAAAACAATTACCAACGCCGGTCAGCAGGAGCACAGGAAGTACAGTTCATCTGATGCCAGATCCAACCACGTTCAATAAAGCACAGCTGATGAGAGGGAATTTGACAGCAGCGAGGTGAAAAAAACAATGACGCAACAAACCAAACCATCTGTTCCGCTGTCTGTCCAGCAGAGGAGTAGTAAAAATAGAAATGGCAATTTAGATACAACTGCCATAAAGCAGCAAGGCAACTGGGAAGCAGATGTATGTGGTTTATTTTATGTGCTCATAAAGAATCAATGGTTTTGGTTGTGAAGCTACTTTGGCTTTTAATTTTATTCAACAAAAAGCAATCCATAATACAAGTTATTATTATCCCTGATGCTATTTCTTTCTGACGCACACACAAAACCCACCGATGTAAGACCTTAATGCCAGTGGCAGTAAAAGCGTGTATGACATAACAGGGAAGGCTCCATAAGCTGCTGTGTGACGTAACCTGTGCTGCTTCTGAGAGCTGCAGGGTGAACACTGTTACAATGACGGCCTTCTAATGATGTGCAGAGGGCATGAATGTATGTTAAGGGAGAGTCAATGAGATGGGATATCACAGCACGTGGTTATGCTCCTGCTATGGTCTGGTATTTATCCGTGTGTAGCATCACACGGATAAAACTGATACCAGTTAAGAGGTTGTGAGTGGAAAATTTGATTTCAGCTCAGTAATAACTATGTATGGAAGGTAAGCTAGGACAGCAAGTTGGAACTCATAATTCATAAACCAAATTTGTTTGCCTTTGTCCTAGAGAGCAGTAACTGAAGTAGTATTGAGTAAAAAGTTTACAAATTGGCTGGCAAACTGCATAACAGGTTGTAAAGCCGCTTTAACGCTTCAACGTATTTTTACACAGATTATTTTAACCCAAACAATTGTCACCATACAGCACTCTGTTTTTGGATATTCTTCCCAGAATGCAAGATAAAAAGTATTGACCAACAAAAAGTGTTCTCAACCTTGGTTTACACAACATGAAAAACATATTTACAATAAAAAAGCTTACAGCTTCTAAAGTCCACAGATTGCCAAACCAGAGTACAAATACTGAGGCACGTATTTTCTGGTTCTTTCTTTATTAGCTATAAACCCACAGCTGTGTATCAATGGAGGCTGAAGTTCTTAACTGTCAACACCACTGAGCGGGGCCCTTTGCTTAAATACCAAGACTTTCTCTCAGAACTGTCTCTGCTAAAGGATAAGACTGGCGATATCCTTTCTCTTTTATTATAGATGTAGTTTCATAAAAACAGGAGGAAATAGTGCATGTGTTGGGGACTTTTTTCAGCTACAGATTAATACATATGTGTTGGTGAGTATTTAGGACAGCACGACAGTGTAAGTGGGTTTGAGTCCAAATAGGTGTGACTGTGGATTAGTGGTAGTGTCACAGCTCTGCCACTTCTATCTAGTTTTTTCCACCTCTCACTCACCTAATCAGTTCATTCAGTGCACCTGCCAGTCACACGCACCTCATCAGCTCATGACTCTCACCTGCTCACTCTGCCTCCTCCACTATTTAAACCCCTGTCTCACACACACTCACTGCCAGATCGTTCTATGCTCTCATGCAATACTTTCCCGCATACACCCTTGGACTGATTCCCCTTTGCCAACCCTGCCTGTTTCGGACTACCTCGCCTTGCCTCTGCCCTGGTAACTCGCTCTGCCTTCTGTCCTTGACCACGAGAACCTGTCGCTGTTTTCCTGAGAATATTCTTCCTGTCGTGTGTGTCGAAGAAAATAAAGAGTTCAAGTCAAACTATTCCTGGTGTTTGTCGTACCGCTCCTGGGTCCTTACTACACCCGTAACAGGTAGAGCTCTACCAAGTGGTTCTATCCCTAGCCCCGCTAGTCCATGTCGATGTGTCCTTGGGCAAGAAACTTTTGGCCACATGGCAACATTCATACCTGCCCATCAGAACTAACTAACATTCATACCCATACTAACTTGCATGGTAGCCCTGTCATCAGTGTATGAATGGATGTGGATAACATGTAGTGTTAAGGCGCTTTGAGTGGTCGGAAGACTAGAAAAGAAAGAAACAAGTACAGTCCACTTACCACAAACTACAGTATCTGTGTTGATGGTAATGAAGGAACCCAGCTCTGCAAAGTCCAAAGTCCACTTGTTTGCATGAATGTGCTCAGTATTTTATGGCAATCTCCCAGTCAGATCAGGAGACATGTTGTGTGCAAGGTTGCCCCCAAAAGAGGCTTTCTAGAGAATGGCTTGTTGAGTGTCCAAAATTGAGATGGTTCATCCTCTTGGGACCATTCCTGAGTTTAGTAACTTCATCACATTATACCTGTTACATAGTTTTACTCCCTTGTGTGCAGGTGGAAACTGTGGCTTGATAGCCTGCAGTCCAAGAGGAAAGACCAAAGGGTGACCAAACACATTAGTGGTCCTCTGTGGACCATGAATATCCACAGCACATTTAAGGCACATAAATTAGTTTAGAGACACTCATGGACCAAAGTAATGGACTGATAAAGAGACAGCACTTGGTGTGAACCCAACACTGAGTCTTACCAGTCTTACAGATGGGGCAGCAGTGGTTGGGCTCGTAGGTGGGGTTGACACAGTGCGGGGTGGGGCAGTCCGAAATGCTGCAGTACACCTCTCTGTTGGCCTCGCAGCGACATTGCTCACACTTCGACAACTGAAAAACACAAATAATTGTAATGTCATTGACTTCAGGTTTTAACATATGGCCATTTAACAAAAGTAGTCCCATTATCTGTGACCATTTGGTGTAATTACAAATGAGCCCATGGCAGAGGTGACTGGTAGGTTCAATCTCATTATGTCACAGAGGATATGTGGACAGTCAATATCAAACAAACACACACAAAGACTGGTTGGATGCCCTTCATCAATCAGTTGATGAAGGGCAGTGGAAGGACAGGTATTGACTGTTTTTATAAACAGTCAATACCTGTCCTTCCACTGCTCAATCCCCACTGAGCACATGGCAGCTGTTTTGTTGACCGCACAAACAAGGAAGCCCCTCTTTGTATGATCAAATGTTGAGCAGCTGTTAGAACTGGCTTTTAACTCACTCGCAAACTTTTCAAACATGTGCTGTTATGGCCTATGTAGAAATTATAAAATTGCACTAAATGCACAATTTTAACATTTATTTTACCATGATTGCACAAGCAAAGAATTATTTGTACTCATCTCATCATTGCTACCTGGTAAATCCAATATTCACTTAGCCTAGACTGTGTATTTAGCAACAACAAGTTCTACTTCACACTAATTAACTGTCTGTCTGCTGCTATTTGGTGCTGATGAGATAGTGTACACAGAGTTTATCAGAGCATGTTTGTTGAAAACAGCTTTCTGCTGCTACTGAAAACAAAGCTGCTGAGAGTGAACTAAACAGTTAAGTTGCTGAAAAAGCTGAAGGACGTTAAAACACCCTGTCGAACTGCAGAGTTGATTATAATTTCACATTACACATAATTAGTTCTGTTGTTGACTAGTGCAGCTTTAAGCTTTCTATAACAACAGAAACTTTAGCAATACAATGTCGACCACACAGAGAAGACAACTACTCACCCACACACCCCTTTTCACAAAAAAGGTAGAATACATGACCTAATTGAAATGTATCACATGTGATTTGTGATACATTTCAATTAGGTCACGTACGATCCACCATGGTTAGCTTATAGGCATAATATAATGAAGCTGCATGTGGTCACTAACCGGAGTGAACATACACGATCGGGACGGTGGAAGCCCTTGGGTTAATCCAGCAACTATGGGTATGCAAATATTCTATTCTACTTTCCACATATGTGAACATAATGATAATCTCATATTAATATGATAGAATATTGAATACTTTTGGGTCCAGGATACAGTTTACATGTCAATAATTGTATTCAGGGTGGATGCGACTAAGTACAAGTTTGAGGTACTTGTACTTTACCTGAGTATTTCCATGTTATGCTACTTTACACTTTTACTCCACTACATGTACCTCACAGCTGTAGTTACTAGGTTTTGAGATCAAGATTGTACACATTAAATACATGATCAGTTCATAAAGTATCAAGTACCCAACATAATATAAAGTTGTTAAGGTTTAGCTCTACCTTGCCAGGAATACAATTCCAATTAAAGCTGCGAGCAGCGATGAACAGGCCCTCGCACCTTCCTGCGTCTCGGGGTACTGGCGGGACGCCGGCAGAAGCGGCCATAAATATCTGCGACCATCAGACAGCGCGGCCACAAGTTAGACATATTTTTAATGCTTGTACCGTGTGACGCTGGAAATTATGTAGTGCAAATATTCCACCAGTTCCTGTATCCACTTTGTGATGCTAGAGAACACGCACAAACATGCATTGTGTTGCTCTACATCAAGTATAGACCACATCATGTAAATGTCATATAAATCGGATTCAGTTTGTCAAATAACGCTGTCTTCCTGTTGCCAGTAGGTGGCGCTATGACTGAGTATGAATTGGCTTGTAGACATCCTCAGGCCATGACTGTTATCAAATATGGCAAGTTTGGGACATATTTGAGCAAGTCCAGTGGAGTTACATCAGCTTGTTGTTTAATAGCGAATCACCTACAATGGCCGCCACGTCACGGCTACGCCATTCTATCAAACGTAAAGCTTTGAGTAACTTTTAATTGCAAAGGTCTTTAGATTATACTGACCAAATTTGAAAAGGATCTGACTAAGTCTCTAGGAGGAGTTCGTTAAAGTATAGCGACTAGCAATCATGGGAATATTCACACAAAAATCAAAATGGCCGACTTCCTGTTCATTTTAGAGCATTATCCCAAGACACTTTTTTTTAAGTCTTCATGTGATACATGTTCCTACCAAATTTCATACATGTAGGTCAAACGTAGTGCTGGGGCTGCGATTTTGAATATTTGTAGGGGGCAGTATCGAGGCAATTGGAAAGGGTCAAGCCAAAAAGCCATATGAAATATTTATTTCCATCACCTATGACACCTGTGTGACACCTGTGCAAAGTTCCAAGGCTTGTTGAGCATCCTAAGTCACAAAAAAATAAGCTTCATTTTTCATGGCGAATGACGCGTTGCCACGGCAACAGCGTTTAATGACAACTCACAATATTCATGATGAAGCATTATCAATGTCTTACGGCTTAGCTTACCAAATTTGAGACTGATCTGGGCAACTTCCGAGTTGGAGTACATCAAAGTATAAAACTTGTCATTTCATTTTGCCAGTAGGTGGCGCTATGACTTTGTGAAAATGTTGTCATGGAAATGTGCTCAGACCTGGACCAGCATCATGCATAACAATTTTGGGGCAGATTGAATAAATTACCTTGGAGTTACAACTTTTCCTCTTTAATGGCGAACAGCACGAAATGTGCGTCACATGGGCGCCATATAAAACGAAGGTCGTTCAATGTCAGTAGACCATTTTAGTAACTTTTCATCATTAATGTCTTTAGATCATCTTGACCAAATTTGAAGTTGATCGTATAAATTCTGTGGGAGGAGTTCGTTAAAGTACAATGCCTGAAAACGATGGAAAATGCCTAAAAATGCAAAGAAATGGGGGTATTACTGCATCGCCGGCTAGTGGTTGTATGGAATGAAAATTTGAGGGCATGTTACAGGACACAATGTGAACATATGCTACGGATTTCGTGATGATAGGCCATATGATTTTGAAGTTATATATATTGCTGTAGAAGGCCACACCCCTATTAAATTCATTGGTCCATATATTCTTAATGCAATAAGATATCAACAAGATTTTCATAATTTCTGATGATATAGATCCAATAATGATTCACAGCAAATTTGGTACGAATCAGATCCAGGGTCTAGGAGAAGTGAATTTCTTTTTTTTTTACAAAATTCAAAATGGCGGAAAATTTTGGTAGGCGGAGCTTAGGGTCCCAAGAGGATTTTTTGTAGAACTCATTCATTTGCTCATTTCCATAAAATTGTAAGTCATTTGGACATATGGGCTGTCGGGGCTTGCATTTCCAACTTCTAGGGGGCGCTAGCGAGCAATTTTGTCATCCTCGAGCATGGGACCCATAAAATATCATATATTTTCCCACAGTCCTGATATGCTTGCCAAATATGGGGATGTTGGAGACATGATAAAGCCCCAAAAATGGCGTTTCATTCGAGAGAAAAAGAATAATAACAATAATTCCTACAGTTTCAATAGGGACCTCGCGGCCCGACATTGTCGGTGCTCGGGCCCTAATAATAAATAGCCCACATAACTAATGTAACACTTCCAGTGGAGCCATTTTGCACAATGAGCACGCCACTTTAACTGTTGACACTTAAAATACAATTTACTACAAATACTTGAAATTTTACTTAAATACGATTTTGAATGCAGGACTTGCTACTTTTGCTAATGTAAAAGTACTTCTTCAGACTTTACTTATGTGATGAGGGATTGGGGGGGTCGGATCTTTCTCACCCTGAACTCCTCAAGGGGTCGGTACGTTTTTCCCCCGTAGACGCAGACCCTGGCCATAGCCTCGCACACCGGACAGCATGCTTTATATCTCATCCGCGTGCACCGGGGGTGGATGCGGGGACACTTAGGTTGGACGCACACAGGGCCGTCCACGGTGCACGTGCACGGACACGCCGTGGGGCTCGGGTAATACACTTCTCCGATTCCGTAAACAAACCCGTGGTCGTCGATGCACCACTTCCCCCGGTAGTCCCCGAACTCGTAATCCAAGTCGGTTTTGGAGGAGTACTCCGCAGCCACCGCGAGCTCCGCGACGCGCCCCGGACCGGGCGTCAGGAGCAGCGGCAGGACGAGCGCGATGGAGAGGCAGCTGAACGCGCGGTGCGGCTGGCTCATGGTTACAGGTTACCCTCACCGACACTAACCATCTGCGTGTCTGTGAGATTCTCCCACCATCAGGGGCGCCGGTGACGCCGATACACGCGCGTCAGTCCGGAGTGTCACTGACATGCTGCCCAGGAGTTCATTCATACACATGGCGGAAAAAAAACAAGCGCACCTTTAAAGCTGTGACTGTATTAACAGGAAATATTAACAGCAAACTTAGTGAGTTGGTCTTTAAAGCTCCGGAAGTGATTTTATGAAACTAATTTAAGTTTAGTTTAGTTGTAACAAGCAACAAGACACGTAATATTATAATACATGAAGGTGCTAAACTTCATGTATTATATTTCCATCACCCTGAGATTCCCTTTTACTATAAGGGAATCTCAGGGTGATGGTATTATAGAGAAGTGAGACAGGACAGAGAGAGAGATGCATAGCAACAATATAATACAAATAATAGAAATATGACCAATAGTAGTAGCAGTGGATATAATTGAACATTACCACTAGCATAAATATTTCTAATATTTAGTATAATCATTTCTTGGACTAATCACTCCCCTGGTCAACAGGAACTACTTCCTGTTGAGTATTTTTTTTGCTCAGTAACTTTATTGTCCGGTTTATTAAGTCAAGTCAGTGGCAATGCATTCTGTTGCAAGTATGATTTAAATGACTTTTTGTCAAAGAATAATCCAATACAACTTTCTTTCATATTAATATTGAACACAGGTCTCCTAAAGCTCAAGGCACTGCATATACTCTAATTTCAAGCGTACAATCATTTCCTTTCAAAATGTATGCTGCAGTGTAGACTAAATACTAGTGATATTATTTTGTGATAATACACATACAAAAACCTAAGGATCAGTTTTACAACACTTACTTTTAATATTTAAAATCTAATTTCAGAAATAATGGCCAAATTAGGAGAAAACACCATTTAAAAACAAGGTCTCAGAAGATCCAGCAATTTCTAGTGGAGCAAAAAGAACACAGCCACAAAAGACTGAGAAATCCTCTTTAATTGGCTAGATAAGTCAGTACAGAAAAAAGATGCAAAAACAGGCATATTACTAAAAAGTCCAATTCAAGTAGGAAACGGTCCTTTAAATGCACAAATGACTGAGGTTACATGTGGCTGAGGGTTGCATGTGCATTTCCCTGCTTGTGGCATTAAGATGCAGTCTAAAAATAGTCTTTCAAATAAATAGCCTCACCTTTTAGAGGAGCTGACCGAGTATGTCAGCACTTTCTCCATACATGTGATGAATGTTAACTGTATACACTCAATGCAAGACATTATATATCAACAGATTTTTAAAAAACATCATTGCCCATCATTTCATTTGTTACGTTTCTTGCACACATCGGGTGTCTGGTCCAACATATGATTTCAAGTAACAGTTTTCCTCAGTCTCAACTCTTTGATTAAGACTGGTTATTTTTCTGATTCTTTCAGGAGTATGGTTTTAATATAGCATGCTGAACTGAGTGCACCAATAACGAAACTGTGCCTTTCTCCATACTGACTTCAGAGCTGGAGACAGTCACAAGGTCGAGTACAGATTTAATACGACTGAATTTCAGTATATTCATCTAAAAGGATCAACTACATCTCTAAAAACACTAATTAGTAGTAGTTTTGCAGTTCACAAAAACTGCTAACCTAAACAATTGAGGTTTTATATTGGGGTGGGGCACACAAAATGAGCTTCAGACAATCCAGACTCCGAACATGAATCATGTAATGTACACCAAGTACTACATCAGTAATACATCAAGTGATATTAGAAGTGTGTGGAATTCAACCATTTCAGCAACATCCAACAGTACAAAGTGTACACAGTGGAGGTTTACATTCGAACGATGCATGTGGATGAACAGCCATCAGCAACTCCAGAACCCCCCCCCCCCCCGGTGTCGGGGAAGAAGTGTTATGGACCATGGTAATGAGTGCCCTTCACGCACCAGCACCGTGATGTAGCAGAATAGCTTAAACAAGATGATCAACATATCATCATATTTTGAGAAATTGATAATATTTCTGAAATTCCAGCCTCTTTAATGTGAGAATGTTACTCTGCCAACTGTAAATGTATGTGAAGAATGTACCAATGGATGTTGAACAAACAGGAGCAGACTGTAATAACAGCGACGTTTAGGTGGCACGTTGGGAGGGGTTACTGCTGACATTATAAAGTCTGTATGTGGTTATGTTATGCTTTAAAAAATCCATCAAGAGACATGATTATAAAAGAGGAATGGCTTGTACAATGCCTGGAACACACACACAAACTTGCTCGGGTCTAATTTTGATTTCGATTCATTCGGTCACATCAACAAAGCAGGCGTGCTGAGATATACATTTTAAAAGAAATTTAAGCGACATCCTAATTTCCCCAACAGGATCTTGCTTGGCCCAGCTGTATGAATCCGGCTCATGCACTCTTAATGCATGTTAACTATTATTGACCATACTATCAGAGCCTCAACCATTCAGCACTGCTCATTCACAAGATCTGCTATGATAGAGCCACCATACATGTCTCACTTCATCAACACCTGGTGCTCCACCCAGAAGAGGAATACAGGAGAGCTGCAGCACGTGGAGGCCTTCTATAGTTACCACTGTGTATCTAACAAAGCGACTACTATGCATCATACTGTTGGCTGCTCTGACTGGGGGGTAGTAGTGGTGGCGGTGGTGGTGGAGGGGCTGGTTCTTCTGAGGGAGGGGGAGGCGGAGGTGCTGCAGCCACATCAGGATTAGCCACGCCGGGGTTGGCTTCCTGAGCCGCTGGGGTGTCAGGTGTTGTTGCTGCTCCGGCATTGCTGTCTGAGGAAGGAGGGGGCATGCTGTTCCTGCTGTCATCACTGGGGGTACTGCTGCCTGGAGTGCTGCTCTCCCTGGGTGGCTCAGGGGGAGGGTTTGCTTTATCAGTGGCAGAAGGGGCGGGGTCAGATGGAGTAGACTGAGGGTCTGACGGGGGCTCTGCAGGAGCCACCTCATCTGGGGAGAGATTGAGAGATAAAAGCTTAAAATTGTTCGGCAAATTTGGCATTGCGGGCGAGTACCACACTCTCAACTGGATATTGGACTTCCTCATAAACAGACAAACACCATCAGTTCCTGAAATCAGCATCACAGAGAACCTGAAAGCTCAATAACAGCTGAAGGAAACTCAAGGGGGCAGAATTCCTTTGTCAACCTGTACAGAGGAGCAATAGAAAGCATGGTGATCGTGGGTTGTGCACGGCCCAGGGAGGTAGGGCTCTGTAGCGGGTTATTAAAGCCGACCAGAACATCATTGGTACTCATCTACCGAGCGTCAGTAATATCAGTGAGGTGCCTGCACAGAGCCCAAATGATACTAAAAGGCACCCGGCTGTCTGGCAAGCAATACAAAAGTATCCACTCTCATGCAACCTGACCAGTGTTTATCAAACTTCATTTCATGCGTTATTGAAAACCTAAAGACATATTAAATACTTTAAATACCAAATAAACACATTTAACTCAAGAGCCTGAGTTAACAGGCTTTTGGTTTTTCCTCTCATCAGTAAAATAATGTATGCTAGCCCTTAATATTAGATTCAATGTCATAGGTAGGCGACAATTATCAATTATAATTAGTGCTGGGCAAGTTAACGCGTTATTATCGCGTTAATTAATTAACACCGACAATTATGTTATCGTGCGTTAACCCAGTTTTTTTTTTTTTTTAAATTATTATTCAACGGACATTTTTAAGACAAGAAACCCCCCCCCCGGGAGACACGCCAGTTCCGGAACAGTCGGTACCTCCTGTCTCACGCGCGCACGATGGTTTCGTTACAGGATCAAACGTGACAATATTAAAATACATATTGTGGTGTTTTTAATAAACATAATTACGTGAGAACAAACTGCTCTTAACTGCAACTATGTTTTAGTATAACTTCCACATGATGCACGTTACTGCCACAGTACAGACTACAAGTTCCATGCTTTACCTACATTCCCCTGGGTCCTAAGTCCCTCCATGTACAGCTTCTTATCACCCTCTATGTACCAACATACATTTATAACAAATACCACACATATTACAGTAATCAGCGCTGCATACGTGTCTGACCAAAATACCAAAAAAAGCAAAAAAAAAATTGGATTCATTGAAATTATTTTTTTTGAATTTTTAAAGTTGTTTAGTTTGGAATATGTATAATAAGCATATAATTTAGTTATCGCTACTGAGAATTTAACAAACATAAAAAACATGACGTAGATAGGTTTGCAGTTTTCAAGAAGTATATTTCAAATTGCATCTATTACACACATGAAGATAAAGTTGTGAACACGGGCTGAATATCTATTATCAGAATCATTATAACTGTATTATAACTGCTGCTGTGTAAAGGGAATACTGCTGTTAAAAATAACATTTGTTTAAAGTGTATGCAAACAAAATGTTATTGCTCTTTTGTTCATATAGCAGCACTTTCAAGATAACAGTGCACAATACATTACTTTTGAATTCATTATTGAACTTTGCCATAACAATGCGATTAATTGCAGACAATCATGCGATGAAAAATGTTAATTGTTGCCCAAGGACTAATTAAAACACAAGAAAATGTCAACACTGTAGGTACCTGTCTCCATTGGTGTGGGCTTGTCCTCCTCTTTGGTCCCTGAGTTGGGGTTAGCTGTGCTGCTAGCATTGGCACTGCTCTGCTCTGCAGCTTTGTTTCCAGCTGCCTCCTGTTGCTGTTGCTGTTGCTGCTGCTGCTGCTGCTGTTGTTGTTGTTGTTGTTGCTGTTGCTGCTGCTGCTGCGCCTGTTGAGCAGCTTTCTCTGCCTGCTCTGCTGCCTCTCGCTCTCTCTCCTCTGCCCGGCGCCTGGCCGCCTCTTCAGCAGCAGCCATCTCTGCTGCTAGCTTCTCCATGTCCACCTCAACCTTCTGACTGCAAAGCTGGAGACAGAGGGAACACTCGTGAAACAATGGCTTCTACAAAACACAATTGTCTATCTACAAATTGACCTAAAGATGTCACCAGATTGAATGCAAAGACACAAAGTTATATACGTAAATTAACTTAAGGTGAAAACATACTTCAGTATGAATACTCATTTTGTCTACAAATCAGAATGTGCAATCTATGCATTGAAGTCAATGCATAGATTATGAGTAATCATCTTTTTTAAGTTTCAGGTTCACGTATAGTTCTTTTACACATTCTCGATGGATGTTTAGCTTTCTGGACTAAAACCTCATCCTTGCTTCTCACTCTGCCTCAAGGTATAAAGGTCCTGCTGTACCCGCTTGAGCTCAGTGTTGAACGAGTCAGTGGTCTCCAGGAAGCGTCTTTTCTTGTCTTGGTGGCGATCCTCAATCTGCAGAAGTTCTGCCTCCAGCTTCCTCTGAAACACACAGATGAAATACACGAGTGTGTGTTAGTACTTGTCATGTGCATAGGATTACATTCTACCAAAATGTTTTCAGAAAGGAAAAAAGCTACTGAGCTCCTCTCATCTCGCATAGAGTGTGTTCGTCCAACCTACCTGGTGCACCATGAGAGACTGGACCTGCCTCTTGAGGACCTGCATGCGGGCTGTGGTGACCACCGAGCGGACGTCAGGCACCACGATCTCACTGAGGATGTCACTGATGAGCCGGTGGTTCCTCTGGAAGCGAGCGGCTGCTGTGTGCTTCACTGAAAAACCATCATCGTAGTCTGGACGGAGGAAAAATACGACACTTAACAGTCCACCAGGAGAGAGGAGGGGAGCAGGTTAGCAGCTCACATTCACACATGCTCTGCAGATATCTACCCCAAAATCACCTTCAAAATGTTTCTGTTTGAAGTGCAAAGAACTAAGCATGCCCCCCCCCCGGGGGAATCTTACTTTAAATATGAGCTTTAAAATGTAGCATTCTGGTGTACTCTGAGAATAAAATTAAGTGATAAGACAATATTTACTTTAATAACTGAATAATAAATTAGATTTTTGCTTAATCAGTATTTCAGCTCGAGTTGACCAGCTGGCTAGTTAGCTTCTTCTTTTTTTCCAAATCAATATTATTATTATTAACCTTTATTTTGACAAAATTTATTGAGACCGAGGTCTCATTTTCATAAGTTTTAGTCATATAAAAACAAAGATGGCAAGAGTAGCGAGAACCATCGCCTGTACAAAATAAAGTGATTCGTTTTCATTGAACCCTGTTACTGTATGGCTTCATATTAACTTCCACTGTTACTGTACAGCTGTTACAATTGTGGCCTGTCTTCTATTTGCAATTAATATGCATTCAATCCAGTTCAATTATTTAAATGGAAATGATAATCTAATCTGACTAAAGTAGTTTATCAAGACTAAAATAATAGCTGTGATCTATACACACCTCTGCATTAGTAACCCGCTGAAATGAAGGTACAGGCACCTTAACCCTCTCTCATTACTTCAGGGTTCTTGAGAGCAACGTGGGACTGTTGGTACACTGGCTGTGGTCATCACAGTGAACAGTGTGATGAGAGGACATGTGAGTACTTGTTGCTGTAGTTCATCTCCTTGGAGCAGAGGCTGCATTTAGCATACCCTGCTTTATCAATGTATTTAAAATACTGTGACAGCAGGAAGCTGTACTCACGTCTGTTTAGACCTCCACCTTTATCCAGGCCCAGCTCCACTCACATCTCAGCCCTGTATCAAGCTGCGCTACACAAACAGCCTCCTCTCCCTGAAGCTCTTTGACCTCATCATCTCATCAGTATCTGGGCCTCATGTTTCGTGGTCATGAAAGTTATTCTGACCACGAAATCATCCTCATTCTACTTTGAGTTAAACAAACAACCTGCAACCAGATGCACCGGTGTTCCGGTTTAACATGAACGAGTGAACTGAACCGGAACACGGGGGGGGGGGGCTGAATGTTTCATCACGTTACGTGTTTTCCTCCTAAATTGCGATAATGACGAACGTTAACAGTCGACAAAGTTCCGCATGCAGTGGACGTTAACTTAACCCAGCAAGTCTGAACGGTAACGGAACATAACGTAACTTAAACTTTAACGGAGGGAAATAACGACGCTGTAGACATCTTAACGCTGATTGGCCAAGACTCGACACGTCACATGAAAGATGTTTTATTGGGAAGATCACTATATAACCTGTCTCCTTGTCTCACTCCAATCTGAGAAACGCTGGCTGGCCAGTTGACTCCCCCCCCCCAAAAAAAACACTACGGATCTACACGATTCACGTGGATGATATATTTTGATTCAAAACGGCGAATTCCGCCGAAAAGCGACAAGTTTTCAGGTATGACATCTTTAATATCTTGATCGATGCACTTTAGAAATCAAACATTCATAACTCAAACTTACCATCCGGGTCTTCAGCAGGCTGAATGCTCATGTACGGCTCTCCTTTGTCCATGCGGCTCTGCCTCTGTCTGCTCTCCTCCTCCATTGCGGCCTCGGCCCGGTTCTTAGCGTTGACGTAGGCCAGGTAGGCTGGTGAGTTGTGGTAGGCCTTCAAAGAGTCGTTATACTCAATCTGAGAGGAGAGAGAGAAAATAATAAGCTGAACAAAATAATACAACAATCTATCTGATCCAGATTGTTTCTGTTACAAGCCATTAACTATTGTCGAGGGATTATTTTGTGTATTTTTAATGTTGGGTCAATTAAAGTGGCATTCCACCCAAAATCTATTTTTTGAGCATCAAAGACTCATCCCCTATAGTCATGTTTGAAGCTTTTTTTTTTACAACGCCCTGTTCTTCATACATGAACAATCAAGTAAGCCTAAATTGGATTATTGAAGATATGTGACCGACTACACAATGAGATATTCCTTAAAAGAGTTTGCCATTTGTAGAGCACATTTAAGTTAAATAAATAAATCTTAAAAATATGTCATGTTATAATTTATACCAATGTCTGTCCAGAATTGCATCATGTCACCATTTTATCCTATTATACATCGTCATAATTAGCATATGAATTCTTGATTTATAGCCAAAACATGTCCAAAGTCTAATCAGTTTAACCTCGAGTGCAAGTGCATGTTATGTTCCACACGTTCACAAAAACATAATGCCTATGTTGCAAAACTCTTAAGGCAATCACTTTACCTTTGTCTTTAGTAAACAACATTTGTATTAAACATAAGACAAAACAGGGCTGTGATCCATCACTAGATGAAACTATTCTACTACTACTATCTAAATAATGTTAAAAATAGATTGGCTAAATAATTCAATGGCAACTGTGATCGTTTTGATGGTCAAGAAAAAAACAGCAAATTTCTGGTTACCGCTTTTAGATTTTTCAATTGCTCTCAAATTGATTGGCTTAAGCTGTATTTAAAAAGAGACATCTCAGACACTCAGGACTGTGCAGACCTGAACCGTAATGATGACACTTCTGGCAGCTCACCTTCTCAGCTTCGTACTCGTTCAGGTAATCTTGTTTCTCCTCATCGGTCAGGTCTCTCCACATCCCTCCGATAATCTTTCCAATCTCCCACAGCTTCAGGTCCGGGTTGGATGCCTTTACTTGGTCCCATACCTTGCATTTGCGCACAAACGCAAGATGCAAACACACATGCACCATTGAGAGCATCGCCCCACACACACACACACACACACACACACACACACACACACACACACACGACATATGGTCACAACAGGGAAACTGCAGTTGATGGCAAGTTAGGTTACTATAAGACAGTGAAGGAAATAAAAGAGGAAAAGTGCTAAGGAAGGAAGAAATTGGCTTCAAAATTATTATTTGGTATAAGGTAAAGCATATTTTGTGTTGCAAAAAGATTGGATGGAATGGAATGAAATATATCTAAAGACAGAATCACCAGTTTTACGTGAACATGAATTTGAGTAGATTTTGTCTTTACGCCGTAATCAACGTTAAAATGTCAGCTCTAAAACTAGAGAAGCAGCAAAGCAACAGGCACAAAAGGGAGAAATGAAGGCAGATCATGCTTGCAGAAGGAAACACAAGGAGATGTCATTTCTCTTTATCGTTGACAAACATGGGAGGCTACTGTAAGCCAACGGGAAAACAGAGTGGAGAGTATCCACTAGGTGGTTGAGGTGGTGGTGAAGGCGTCATGGCTTGGCTGTTTCCCACCCTAAAACCCCTGTAACTTTTCAGGGGATGGGAGGACAAGCAGTAAAAGCAGACACCGTGGATGGGTGTCTTACCTTCCTGCTTACCTTCCGGCTGTACCGCATGTAAGGCATCAGTGGCTTGTCTGGAGGTTTGGGAGGCTTTGGGACGGTGATCCCTGAGGAGGTCTGTGGAGGGAAGACAGACAGAGAGAGAAAAGGGAGGGCAAAGAAGTGGAGAAGAAGAAAATGAAGGAGGAACAGAAAAAAGGACAAACAGTTTAGAGAGAGAAGAGAGAAAAGCAAACATCAGCTGATTATGGTCTGTTTATGTTGAAGCTTGTATGAAGGCAAATTAAGAGGCGTTTATGTGAATATGACAATACATAACTCTAAAGTGGTCCTGAATGCTTTCCTAGTTCCTACAGCTAAATACATTTATGATGCATATTGATTGTTTGGCAGCCAACCCTAGCATGTCGAGAAAAACAGTTCAAGATAATCTAACAATTACAAACGGTTGCTATTTAGAGGGTTTGCTGAACGCCAGTCAGCTAGACAACAAGCCTGTGAGCTTTGTGGCTGGAGCAGGAACCAAATCTAATTCCTGTTTGCATTCCCACTGCATCTCAAAAACTGTGCCGACGAGGCAAATGACATCCACCAGACTGGCCAACTGAGGGATGCATGGCAGTGCTCCATCCAAGTATATCATCAGTTGTATCAAACAGCTGTGCAAACATTCATAAAGCTATAGATTGTAATAACCAGGAACTACAGGCGATGCTTGAAAATGTCTCACTTTAGGACTAAAATAAGCCAGAAGGTCAAATTCACCTACTTGCAATGAAAACATTGAACTCCATATTTACAATGGGACAGTTGTGCACAAGTCTAAAAGGTGGATTTGTTCCGTCCATACATGTTCTCTTTGAGTACAGCAGTGTAACGCCATTAATAGAAATGTGAAAAAATTCAACCCCATGTAACAGCCTGAGTGAAAAATACATCATGGGCTACGTGTTTTTCAAATTGTAACCCCATGTGACAAATCAAATGGTTATTCAGAAACATTTTAAAAACCTCATCTCACTACTAAAAAGCAGCATCGTCTTGCAGGCAGGACAGCAGAGGTTATGTCACAGAGATGTACAAAGAAGTATTGAAGCTAGGTCCATGCTTGCCGTAAACCTCAATCCAGACAATGACCGGTCACAGCCTGCACGTCAAGCGCAGAGGTTCCAAAAGCAGCACTTTCTCGCGTGCTCGCTCGGCGCACGACTGGCAGAAATAGTTCCATGATAAAAGCACTAATAACATTTCTGAGGGTTTTACAAAGATAGACAATTTGTTTTTAAAATATTTAGAAACAGGAGGTCCTAAAGATCTACATTTGAGTTTCTATTCTGCCAGCCAAATCAAATGAGATATTCAACCTTTGTTTAATTATAATGAATTTAATACTTGAGTTTTCTTTACAGGTAATAGAGGTAATAAAGTAGTCCATGAATATAAGATGAGTTAACAGCCAATTACAACTCCTCCTCGGCATTGTGGAGAATACTCCAACGAACAGCACATTGAGCATAGACGCCTTTGTGCGTGGTGCCTCACACGGGTATAAACGACGCTTTACAGGGCAACACACAGCAGTCCCATTGAACTATGAAAGCTGGTAACCATTGAGTCGCGCATCTCTGCAAGTTGGTACAAAGTGGCTGTCAAGACACCCGCTTGTCCCATTTGCCCTTAGTACCTTACAAGCAAATAAACACGCAAAACAGTGGTGGGCTGTCAGGGCCTGCAAGGCCTTCTCTGCTGGCCTAAACAGAATCACAAAGTTATAGCTATTTAATAATTTATCTTAAATACACTACATGTATTATAATTTATAAAACCATTTTTCCCATTATCTTATTTTCTCATTGCACAGCTACTGTCTTCCTCAGTTGCTCTGCTTCCAGTGCAGCTTGTTTTAAGTAGAGCTTTTATCCAATCAGATTTCACCTCTGTGTCTCTAGGTAAGAACAGAGGCCCGCAGACTCACAGTTTAAGTGAATGGGGTCGATATTGTTGATTGTCATAGTCTTCAACCAATCAGATCTTTAGTTTGACATGTTGGGCGTATTCTTTGACGTGAGCATTAACGCGCAGCTCAGTTTCCAGGTGCAGCTCTGCAGTGAGGTGCAGCGTGCTGTGATTGGTCAGTGGGCGAGCACGTGACTATTGTGAAACTTAAAATAGCCATCAGAGTAGTAAGAGTTCAAATTGAAAGATATGGAAGAATTATGACATTTTTTGCATGGTGTAGATTATTTTATTTTTATACATAGCTTTGTTTTGTTTTTTTAACACTCAATGGCTGAAGGAGGAGAAACGGATTTGTGAGTTGGGATTTAACCGTGGGATTAAACTCTTTGTCAACAAAGAAAGGAGGATGGAGTTTGTCTTTAAGTGATCAGCATTTGTTAAGTCAACTGCGTTTGTTTTTTTACATCTAATATCTGAATGGCCCTCGAGGGTGTAGCAGAATGCGTGTTGATGCAGGTCTGCTGGGTTGATTTGTTGTCATATGAATATATGTGACTGGTTCTTGTGAGTTTGTTGTTGTCATTGTGTTAATTATATAGATTTGGACTGTATGCATTGCCCGTTAATTACGAAGCACGGAGTTATTGTTTGTTAAGCTAGTTTAGCGTAGCCTCCCAGAAGTCCGGTGCCTCAGCTGTCTTTTGTTTTGTTTTTTTTTTGTTCCGGGTTCAGAGGTCACAAAGCCCGTTGTCTGCTACGTGAGCATAGTCCACCGAAAACATTATATTTCCCACAATTTAAGCTTCTGCATTTTCCAAATGCACTAGTATTATTCAAACGTATTGTTCGGTTCGTAAGCCTCGTACCGAACGGTTTAATACGAATATGTGTTTTGTTACGCGCGTCATAATGAGATTATAAGGTGGTGTTTCAGCTGCAGGACAGCACTGAAGGCCCAGGTATAAAATGCACAGCCCGCCACTGACGCAAACACTCATTAACTGAAAAATAAAAAACGTACAGCTGTCCTGTGTTCTCTTTAGGGACGCACCAATGACCTTCTAGATCTCCTAAAGAGTTTCAAGCGACAAAAAATGTCAATAAGAACCATCCATCATAGGGATTAGAATTTAGATGTTTCCAGCGTTTTTTCCTTGCCAACAGAATGGAAGTAAATGTTTGGTGAAGCAGACTTAAAAGTATTCTAGAGTGAAAAGTCTAAATGAGTCAGAATTACCTTGACACGTTTAAAACTGACACCGAAAATATTCCTTCATTCTTTCATTTACAGTCTGAAAAATGTTAAATGCAATATAAATAATGCTTTTGCAAAACCCACAAAACACCCCTAATTTGTTCAGAAACTAAATTTAAACTTCTAACTGAAGCTAACGTAGCAACCTACCGATACTTTAGGCTCAGTGCATCTTACGTGACGCACTGAGCCCATGTGTGGCATATTTCACTATATGACCGGGGAAATGATGGTGACTGAACACGACCCCTCCTCTCCTATCTGTGCCCCTATATTTAGCCCAAGACAGTTTCTTAGTACCCTCCCTCTTATCCTGCACCCATCCCATTTTTTGGATTTGTTTTCCAAATCCCTCCATCAATTCATTACCCTGCTGGAGCCTCCGGAGCTCCCTCCCAGCCGGAGGTTGTTGTAGGCCAGATGGCTGTAAGGGTTGTAGCCCACAAACCCTGGGGTGGAAGGCAATTGCTGATGGAAGACAAATGAGACAAAACACGAATGAGAAATGGTTTACAAACAGAGGAGGAAGAGGGATAAACATAAATAAGTGAAAAGGGGGAAAAAGTGAAAATATATGCGTATTGTTTTTCTTGTTTGCTTTCCATGATGTCATCATGCAAGACAAAAAAGGCAACTGGCTGCCAGGCTGGCATTCAGAATTCACAGTGGGAATCTTGCATGTAAATCAGGTCCTTGTGACAAGCTCATGTTCTTAAGCCAAAGTTGCATTTAATTAGCCATGGAACCGCAACATTGCATTTCAACTTTAAACAGTTCTGCCCCCTGCTATCAAAAATAAGCTTGACTACAACTGTACACCAAATGTGCTAAACTCTGATAGTTGATACCAAAAAAGGCTTAATATCTTAAATCACATGTAATCATTAAAAAGCGCATGTGGCACATTGACTTCTGCGCAAAACCATAAATGAGTGGTGGTATGATAGTAAAAAGCAGAAGTGAGAGCGAGGATGGAGAGCTGAAAAACGTCCAGTGTTCAGACAGAGAGAGAGAGAAATTAAATGAAAGCAATATAAAAAAAAATGTGGAGAGAGTAAGACATCAAGAAGGAAAGATAAAAAGGAAACCAAAAAGAGTGTACAGACCTAACATGGCCCTTTGGCCACTAAACAGTAAAAACTGAGACTGGAACTGAGATTTGGACACTTACTGTTGTCGGGGCAGGGGGGGGGGGAGGGGCGTAGGATGGTCGTTCTGTGAGAGAGAAAAAAGAAAGAAATGTTAGGCCACTGTTACTGCAACCTGCTTTGTGTGTATTTTGTATTTTATGGCTACCTTTGCTAAAATCATATTTGTTGGAATGCTGTTAAGCCTCTTAAACTTTTTCAACTTTCAAATCCTTCTACTGCCTCATACTTTCAGCTACAGACATCATTTCAACTTTCAAATGTTGAGAAAACCCTGAGCTATTGTATGTTACAATCTTTTTGATATCTTTTACACTTTTTGAACTGCAGCAATTTAACTTTTATGATTTTTTCAGTCCTTTTCTGCTTTTATAATGAGTGTGTATTGCGCAGCTTAGAGTGCGTGATGTCACCGCTAGAGTGAAGAGCAGCTTCAGAATCTTGTGAAAAAATATTTGTCTTTTGCCACTGACTCCACAATCTTCAATCTTCATGCATAATTTGTGGATGGAAAAGTAGCTAATCTTGTCCTTGTCGTAGACAAATGACTGTGGAATCCCACAGATTTACACATTTGGCACAGAAGCCTGTAATTGAGGAAAACCAACTTTCTGCTCCATAGAGACCAATGTTAAATTTTGCTTCAAAAACATCTTTCACAGAACACGGTACCCCATTTCTAGATCGCCAGTTAAGCCACATTTTTTACACTACAGACACAATTTTTACAGGATCTGTTCTTCAACTCATCCTTCCTCTCATTTATTAATATCGGAGCAATAGGAGCTATGGTTATGCGAGTTTTGATGATTTGTTTGAGAGGTGTTTCCCTGTTTTATCTCCATTAAAAGGCTGGAGGCACACAGCTGTTTATGATTGAGCTCATTAGTGAAGCTGATAAACACAGACTCAGACTCTCCAACTGGTGCGTCCTCACCATGGCAACCAGTTACACGCACACAGGCACGCTCTTTCTGTCCGTCTCTCTACACACACACAAGACTTGGAGGCATTGTTAGACCTCCTGTCTGTCTCACTCAGTACATAGAACTGTCTGTCTGACTCACTCAGTACATAGA